TGCCCCCCTCTCCCACCCCTGTCCCACCTGCCCCACAATCCCCAGACCCCCTGACCTTACTTTAGGGCTCCCACCCCCCTCCCACTCAGTCCGAGCCTTCCGACCCCCCTCGTCCTCACATTTTTGGGGCTCCCACCCCCTCTTTTCTTCTTTTCTTCCCCTCTTTCCCACCCCCCCGCTCACCCGACAGCTCCTCGCCCGCAGCCGGGGGGGCTCCCAGCACCACCAGCACCGCCAGCACGGCCCCAGCTCCCCGCACACGCTCCATGCCCAGCGCCGGACAGCTGCTGACAGCCCAAAACCAGCCGGGCGGCGCCGTTTGGGGGATTTGGGGCGCGCTGGGCTTGGCTGAGGGCGCAGTTGGGGCCCTTTTTTCGAGGCGTCTTCCCGGCGACTGATGAGTCATCAGCGCGGCGCGCTGGGATTGGGCGCGGGCGGCGTGGGCGCTTTGGGATTGGCTGAGGGCCGTTGGGGGCCCCCGCGGCAGCCCCGGGGCTGGGGGGTTCGGGGGGTCCGTGGGCTGCGGGGGAGGGGGGAGCTCAGGGCCCACCAAAAATGCCCAGCCAGGGCTCCCAAAGCTCAGGGAACCCCCAAAACCGCCCATCCCGGGCTCCCGGAGCTCCCACGGGTCCCCAAAATGAGTTGAGGGCGTTCTCTGATTGGCTGAGCTCGGGGAGGGCTCCGTTCCGGACGGGTCTGCCCGGCAGCTGATGACGCACCAACAGCGCTCGCTCCCATTGGCTGCTGCTGCTGACCCTGCCCGGGCCTTGGGGGGTCCAAGGTGGGTTCTGGGAGTTCCCGGATTCCTGGGGTTGGCGTTTGGGTTGGCCTGGATACGTGGGGATGAGGTTCTGGGTGGCCCCGAGTGCCCAATAATTTCCAGTTCCTGGGATTCTGGGGCTGTGACGTTTTCCAAATCCCACTCTGCCTGGGACTTTTAGGGTCTGGGAGTGTCCAGTCCCCTCTTTTCCAATATTTTTGGCTCTGGATGTGCCCAAGCAAACTTTCTCGGGGATTTTTAGGGTCTGGGCATGCCCCAACCCCCTATTCCCATGCGTTTCATGGTCTAGGAGTGTCCAAGCCCCTCTTGTCCAATATTTTGGGGTCAAGGTCAACTTCTGGGATCTAGGAGAACCCCCATGTTCCCAAGATTTCTGGGGTCTGAATGTCCCCAAAAGTCCTGTTCAAAGGATTTTGTGGGTCTGGAAGTGCCCAAACCCCCCCATTCCTGGGATTTTCAGAGCCCCCTCTCTGCCCCCCCAAAAACCGGGACTGCAGAGAACTGGGAAGCTTTACTGGGAACACTGGGAGGAGCCGGCTGGGGTGTGAACAAAAGCAGGACCGGGGGGGACACACGACCCCCCAAAGTGCAGGTGGGGCTGGACTGGGGGGTCCCGGCTGGGCCCGAGGCCACGGGGAGGGGCTGCGGCCGCCGGCGGCTCAGGAGCTCTGTGGGAAGAGAAAAGGGGGTGAGAGCGGGGTGGGGGGACAGGGGGGACACCGGGATACACCGAGACCTGGACTGGAGCCAGCGGGACCAGAACTGGGGCAACTGGGATCATACTGGGAGCAACTGGGAGCATGTTGGGGAAAACTGGGATATACTGGGAATGTTTGGGAGTGAGTGGAACCATAGGAGGGGCGAATGGGAGCAACTGGAACCACGCTGGGGGCAACTGGGATTGACTGGGACCATGCTGGGGGAAGACTGGCATCACACTTGGATTGACTGGATCTGTGCTGGAGGCAACTGGGAGCAACTTGGCCCATGCTGGGGACAACTGTGATTGTACTGGGATAATACTGGGATATTACTGGGATCAGACTGGGATCAGACAGGGATCATACTGGAAACAACTGGGTCTCTGCTCAGGGCAACTGGGAGCAACTGGGATCACAGTAGAAAAACTGGGAGCAACTAGGACCACACTGGGAGTGACTGGGAGTGGCTGTGAGCAACTGGGATTATGCTGGAAGATACTGGGAGCAACTGGGAGTGAGTGGGACCACATTGACTTCAACTGAGGTATACTGGGAGAGACTAGGAGTGACTGGGATCATACTGAGACTGACTGGGATCATAGTGGGAGTGACTGGGAGTGCCAGGGATCATCCTGGGAGCAACTGGAACCATAGTCAGTGACTGGGAGGAACTGGGACCCTGCTGGGGGCAAATGGCTTTATCCTGGGAGTGCCAGGGCATGTCTGGGTTCATCCTGGGTGTGAGTGCCACCATCTGGGGTGTCACTGGGAGCTACTGGGATGGTCCTGGGAGGGACTGGGAGGGAGTGGAACTCGAGTGGGGTGACTGGGAGCAACTGGGACCATGCAGGGGGTAACTTGGATCCTACTAGGAGAGACTGGTATCGTACTGGGAGTGACTGGAATAATAGTGGGATGATACTGGGCATGACTAAAAGTGACTGAGATGATAGTGGGGCTGACTGGGAGCATGTTGGAGGCAAGTGGGATCTACTGGGAGTGGCTGGGAGTGACAAGGATGATACTGGGAGTGACTGGAAGCACAGAAGGGGGAAATGGGAGCAACTGGAACCACACTGGGGGCAACTGGGATCATACTGGAAGCAACTGAGACCACCTTGGGGGTAACTGGGATCCAATTGGGAGTGACTTGGATCCTATTTGGAGTGACTGGGAGAGACTGGGATCCTAGTGGGAGTGACCAGGGCCATACTGGAACCATCCTGGGAGTGACTGTCAGTACCCAGGATCATACTGGGAATGAGTAAAACTACACAGGGTGGAACTGGGAGCCAGTGGGGCCATGCTGGAAGTATGGTGGAACTGGGAGTAACTGGGAGTGACAGGGTGCATACTGGAGGCAACTGGCATAGACTGGGAGTGACTGGGATTGTACTGATGGGAACTGGAAGCATTGTGGGGCAAGTGGAAGTCAACTGGGTATGACTGTGAGCATGCTGAGGGCAACTGGGATATACTGGGAGTGCCTACAGCCATCCTGGGAGTGACTGGGACCACACTGGGGGTGACTGGGAGTGGCTGTGAGCAACTGGAATCATGCTGGAAGCTACTGGAAATGACTGGGAGTGAGTGGGACCACACTGGGGGCAACTGAGATATAATGGGAAACACCAGAATTATACTGGGACTGACTGGGAGCAACTGGGAACTTGCAGGGGGGAACTTGGACCTACCAGGAGAGAATGGAATCAGACTGGGAGTGACTGGGATCATGCTGGGATCAGACTGGGAGTGACTAAAAGTGACTGAGATCATCCTGGGGGTGACTGGGCCCATGCTGGGGGTGACTGGGAGCCCCTGGGCCCATCCTGGGGGTGACTGGGAACCCCTGGGCCCGTGCTGGGAGCCCCTGGGCCCCCCTGGCTGGAACTGCTTTCCCTCCTGCGGGTTCTTGGCAAAGGCCCCAAAGCACAAACTCTGCTCCGAGCCCTCAGTGCGTTTCCTCCCTTTGGGCAGCAGCAGCTCCTGAGCCCTGAACAGGCTCCTGTCCCCTGCAAACACTTCCCCTGCCTTTGACCTGCGAGCTCTCAGGGACTCACACATTTACTGAATGTTTAAACTCGGCTTTTTCTCTTATTTTTCTTCTTTTCTTTTGTCTTTCTTTCCTCTTTATCCTTTCTAAACTTCCCCCTTGTAGCAGTACGTTCGGATACATGTCCGGAATAAAGACAAGTGCCAAAAAATACTCAAGCACACAAAATATCTTTTATTACAGTGAGAATAATAATACTAGTAATAAACTTAGCAAGAGGAATTAAAAACTAAAAAAGGATACAAAGTAACTATCTTATCGGGTGGCATTAAAACAAATACTACGAACAGCATTTAATACAGTATTAACTAGTGAAAAAGGGATACCAAAAAAGGATCTTAACACAATATTATAGATAACACGATATTGGTTAGTAAAAAGGGAAACTAAAGGAAAAAATAATACTATAAACATAAAAGGGGAATTAAAGGAACACTAAAAGGATATTAAAAAGTTTGTTCTCTCAGTTGCTTCCTATCAAAAACTGTGCTTACCCACACAGACAGGCCAGGGCTGTCAGGATCTGCAGCAGCTGGTCGGTACCCATGCTTAGCGGGCGTCCCCGCGGAGCAACACAGTCTTGGTGGTAGGATGAGTATCGCTCAACTCAGCAGCTCCGACACCCCATTTTTATCAGTTCCACATTACACTACGTAGGGCCAGTACGCAGTATAAGGTGATGCCTGAATGGCAGCCAAACACCGCCTGATCATTACCTCATGGCAACAGTCTGCGCATGCCCTACTTGTGGGGCAAGGGGCAAGCGACCCCTGCCCACATAATCTTCCTCCCATCATCATCTTTCTCACCCCTATGTATGACCTCTACCATTGTGTTTCAAGGGTAGATGTATCTATCTTGCAATATGTAGCAAAACCAAGGAAAAACTCAGCTCTGATAATAGGGAATATCAAGCTGACTTGCTGAAAAGCACAATGGACCTTACAATTAGCCTGTGCCATGAAGTTCCATTGTACCCCACTCTGGCTGGTCTCACATCCTAATATGATTCCGTTCTCACGCCTCTGTGCTCCATTGATCATCTAATTCAAAAGTACCCCCCTTACGGGAGGAGCGGCCAATGGGAGTGAGGGGGCGTGGTTTAATCGGCCAATCAGCACGCGCCGATGGTGAGAAGAGCGGGAGTGATGCGGAAGTTCCAGGAGAGTGAGAACGGACACTAAAAGGCTCCTTTCTGACCCCAAAACCGCCCCCAAACCGCGGCCACCGCAGAAAAAACTTGAAATAAGGCTGAAAACAGTGTGAAAAAAGGCTGATTTACCCCCCACCGAAATGGAGGGCCAAGAGAAGCACCGGCCTGAGCTATGGCTACATAAATGTCGTCCTCATATAAATATGGTTACATAAATGTTGTACTCATATAAATATGGTTACATAAATGTCGTACTCATATAAATATGGTTACATAAATGTTGTAGTCATATAAATATGCGTTTAAGGCAAATTGTATAAATACCAGTTGCATTTGTGCGAACCTTTTGAGCAAGTTTTCTGTGGTGCAAACCACACTTGTGCTGCTCAAAAGGTCCAAAGGATGGGGGATAGCACCAGTTCCATTTACCTGATTTTTTGTATTCACCCCGAAAATTTCAGTTGCAGTGCTGGGGTGAAGCTCTTTCATCTGGTCAGACATTTAGGCTGAAAGTCTTGGTTTGGGGTCTCCTATTTTCCCCTTCCAGAGTTCATAGTCGTCGGGGAGGCTGCAGATCCAGTTCTTCTCCGTGTGGCACAGGGACGAGCTGATCCACCAGTCATCGAGGTACCCGCAGGGCCCCACACCCCTCACCTCAAACCTGCAAATGCCAATGGGACCAGAGTGAGAAAGGGAAAAGGAAAAGAAGAAAACTCCCCCCAGAAATTAAGAAGAGCTTGGATTTCCTCTCTGGCAGAGAAGGGCTTTGGCTGGGGGGGTCTCCAATACTCTGATCAGGGTTGGGGGGCAGCGACCTCGGCCCATCCCAACCCCCCATGGAAAGCCAGGAGCTGCCTGGACACGGGGCAGGAGAAGGTGCCCATCCCAGGATGGGGCATCCCAGACTCCAGGAAATCCCTGGGGCCCACCCCGGGGCTCCAGCACGGACACAGGGACCCACCTGCCGTTCAAGGCCGTGCCATTGATCCACTCCCAGCCCTTATCCCTCATTCCCAGCCCGATCCAGTGGTTTGCTTCGCCTTTATAGCGCAGAAGGAAGGCCTGGAAGGCAAAGAAACGTTGGCTTTGGCCAGTCTTGTCTTCCCCACCTCCTCTTTCCCTCCTGTGCCCACCCCCAGCCAGGCCTGGGGCTTTTCCCAAGGGCTTGGCTCCCGGCTCCAGCACTGGCAGCACTTTGGGGCCAGCCTGGGGGGTTTGGGGCTGATTTATCCTCTTGTTTTCCCTGTGTTTCCCACCCCAGTGCTGCTGCAGAGGCTCAAGCCCAGTCCTCACCAGTTCATCCCAGTCCTCACCAGTTCATCCCAGTCCTCACCAGTTCAGCCCTTGTGCTTATGGTGGCCAGTGAAGCTCCCAGGGCCTCACACCTTTCCCGGCCTGTGGTCCAGTTGCCCTCAGGCTCAGAAAAATAATAACATTTTCCTTGGAAACCAGGCCAGTTGTCTGGGCACACGTGGGAGAATTCTGGCTCAGAGAAAGGGGGTCTCACACCGAGAACTGAAACACAGAAAGCTGAGTCAGACACGTGGGCAGCCCTGAAAAGCAGCAAAATGGGGTTGATTCCTTGGTTTATTCCAGCAGCTGGAAGAGGAAACTGGGGGATGATGCTCTTGGGAAAGGTGTGACCGAGTGAGGAGCAGGTGCCTGGAGCAAAGTGCAGGGAAAAAGGGGAGTCACTCACTTTGGGAGCCTCCCTTGATGCCAAGAAGGTCCTGGGATCCTCCCACCTCCCAGAGCGGAGGTGCCTGGCCCGGATCCTCCCCATGGGGGTGTCTGGGTGGGACTCACCAGTCAGTGTTACGAGCAGGCTCAAGCTGAGGATCCCCAGGAACACACTCAGAGCCAGGAGAACACGCACCTTGGGGGATGTTCTCCAGTCTGACTCGGTTCTGTAGGACCCTGAGGCAGGAAAGAGCAGGGTGAGGATGGCCTGGCTCCTCTCCCCTCTGCTTTGCCCTCCTGTGCTGGACCCTCAGTCCATCCCCAGCCCCACCCAGGCCCATCCAGGCTCCCCCACTGGTGCCCCCCAGAGCGAGATGCTCTTCCCACCCCTCGTCCTCCCTTGGAACGTTTGGGGTTTTCCCAGCATTACCACATTTGGACTGTTCCTTTGAATCACTGCAGATGTTCAGGGCTTCCTCTTGGCCTGAAGAATTTGGCTTTTGAGTTCCTTCCCCCATCCTTGCAGAGAAGCCTCAGGGCCCGGGGCTGACATTCCCTGGGCTCTGTGGGGTGGAAGCACTCGGCAGCCTGGGGTGGAAGGAGAGGAGAGGCTGAGGGGACCTGCAGGGAGCTGAGACCTCCTGGGCCACAGCCCAGCCAGCCACAACAGCCTCTGTGGGGCTGGCACTGGCTCTCAGCGTTGTCGTTGTGCCAAGGGGCACCATCTGGCAGGGCTGAACACACATCTGGGAGAGGAGGTGGTACAAAGGACAGAGAGAGGGGAGGGGAAAAGATAAGGAAGGGAAAGAGAAAGGAGGGACAAAGATCAAGGAGAAAAAAAAAAACAACAAATTAAGTAGAAAGGAAAGAAAAAGACAAGTTTAAAAGCACTTTAACTATTAAATAAATAAGTCATTGAGAGCTCACAGGTTTGCAGGGGACAGGAGCCTGTTCAGGGCTCAGGGGGGGAAAAGGCACCGAGGGCTTGGAGCAGAGTTTGCGCTTTGGGGGCCCTTTTGCAAAAACACACAGGGTGGAAAGCAGGTTGTAACAGCTCACAGCAGCTGTTCTGCTTGGGTTTTCTGTTTGTGGCTCCCCACGAGCTTCTTTTGCTCTGGTTCCCCCCCCTCCCCATGCCCACTGTTGCACAAGCACGACCTGGTTCCTTGCACCCCCAACCAACAGGGGCAGCAGCTTTTGGTCCTCTTGGGTCTTGTGTAAGTTATTACCAGCACCAAATGGACCAACAGAAGCTCATCAGGAATGTGTCCTGATAAAACAGCAATATTTCATTGCAAGGTGAGCTCTGAAAGCTGCAAAGGGGCAGGTTGGTTTGTGGGTAAATGGATGTGGAAAAAAAGCACAAAGCCGTTCCCTCAGAGGGGATTTGCAGGAGCAAACTCAAGGAGTGTTCAGATGCAGCGTTTCCAGAGCAGTGGGAGGGTTAAATTGGTAGGAGAAAGGAACAAAAACAGGATGAGCCAGAAGAGGGTGGTGCTTCCGCACCCTCAAGGTTTCCAAAGCTGAACAGGACAAAGCTCAGAAATTAAAGGAAGTCATATCTTGTGACTTGGCAGAAGTCCACGTGCACAGGTTCAGACCCCTCATTTCAAGCCACAATTTCAGTCCTACTTTAATTTCTGCCTCCCAGTGTCAACTGAACAAATTCAACAAATTCCCTTAAAAAGACCCCCAAAGGTTCACATTGTAAGACCCCCCCTGGGGCAGCCCGAGCTCCTGGCCAGGTTTAATCCCTCCCAAACCCAATTCTGAGCCAGAAACCAGTGGGCTGGTGAAGGTTTTAACATTTGCAAAACTGAAGTGTCAATTTGAAGCTAAAAGAGACCCAGTGCAGTTACTGATTCACCCAGTCCCACTGTCATTTTTGCTCCTTTATGATGACTGTACAACTTCAACAAATTCCCTTAAAAGGACCCACGAAGGTTCACATTGTAAGACCCCCCCTGGTGCAGCCCGAGCTCCTGCCCAGGTTCAATCCTTCCCAAGCCCACTGTGGTTTCCAGCTGGTTCGCTCCAGCTCCCCCCAAAATCACTGTTCATTCCACTCAACTGAAACAAATTAAAGTCCTTTTTATATTATTATTTGCCTCTTTTCACCACGACTTTCTCATTTCTCTTCCCAAGAAGCAACCCCCGTCAGCAACAAGTGGCTGAAAAAAACCAACAAAACCACTGCAGAAGCTCTTAGAAGGCAGCAAAAATGACAAACCAGCCCAACCCCGCAGCAGACACTCAAACCAGCCCCATGGCAGCAAAAGCCTCACCAAACCCAGCTGTAAAACTGTGACTTTTGGCGTTTATTCCCCCCTTCCCCTTCAACGTGCCACGTTTAATTAATCAGGTGGTCATTGCAGCCCCCCCAGAGACAAGACCATGATGTGGGGGCTCAGCCCTGTCCCAGCCGTGGCTCACTGTGGGCAGGGAGCACCCACCACCCCGAGTTTGGCAGCCCAGGAGCTGCTCTGGAGTACTCACCTCGCAGGGCAGCTCTCAGTGACTGTGAGATTTCGTGGTAGGGTCGGTTTAGTCACAAACTAGCAAACAAACTCTCCAACTGACGCAATTTCAATTGTTCTTTGCTCTTCTCCAGCAGCTTCTCAATGTGGTTTAATTGACATCAGGACACGTTGCTTCCCATTGGCTGCCGGGGCCCTTCGACGCTTCCCATTGGCTACCGGGGGCTCTCCGACGCTTCCCATTGGCTGTTTTTCGATCCCCCCGCCGTGGCTGTGCCGTGTGGGTGTGAAATGGGACGTGTGTGACTCACTGGCCCTTTCGCCGCCGCCGAGTTTTATCTTTCGTCGCCGTTTTGCTGTTTATTGCCTTCCCCGCCGTCTCACGTGCCCCGTCCAGCGCCGGCAGCCCCGTCCCTTCCCCTGCTCCCTCCGCCGCGTTCCATCCCGGCTCTCGGAGCCTTGGAGCTCCCGGGGCTGACGGAGGGCTGAGCCCCCTCCCAGTGCTCCCAGTGTGCCCAGTCACCCTCCAGCACCCCGGGGAGGGCTTCGGGGAAGTGCTGCTGGGGGGTCCCACCTCACTTCTGTTTGGTTTGTTCTTCCCAAACTGGGCAAAATCGACTTTTGGAGTTTTCTGCCAGAACTCTGTCCCCTCCTCCACTCGGGTGAAGGGATTTGGGGCCGTTTTCCCGTTTTAGGGGCAAATAAAACCTATGGGTCAAGCCCCAGCAGGACGCAGCAGCCCTGCAGCCTGCGGAGCCCGTGCTGGCCTGTGCCTGGCAGAGAAAAAAAGGAGATCAGGGACTAATTAACCAGTGATTAATTAGCCTAATAAAATTGCTCCTCATTAGGGGGCAAGAGAAGTGGGGCTTCCTGCTGAGCCAATGTTACCCTACAGACACGGCTGGGAAAACCAGGCATGAGCTCTGTGAATCCGCGTCTATTTTTGGACAGAACTGGTGCTTTATTGAGCAATTCTCTCATTTTGCGCTCCTTTTGATGGTATTTTATCGATTCTCATCTCTTAGAGATCACGATCAACACCTTGATCTCTTATTTTCACCATTTTAGGGGGATGTGAGGAGTGATTTCTCTCTCCCAGCTCCTTGTCCTCCTTGTCCCTTCCCATGGGTTTCCTTCCTCTGGACACAGACCCCCGACCCCCCACCCCTCGGGGCCGTCAGGACGAGTCCCCCCAGCAGTTGTGGGGCTTTGGTTTGGGTACAGGAAGCTCCGAACCCACTGCCAGTTCACACCAGCCCGGGGGGGCAGCGGCGCTTTGGCTTCCTGTCCCTTCCCCCGTGTGACCACTGCGGGTCCCCGGCCCTGAGCGGCGGGACATGGAGGACCAGGACGGCTACACGGCCTTAGAGCAGTGGAGGAAACGAGGGGCTGCGGGGAGCCCCCCGTCCTCCCCGGGGGCAGGTACTGGGGGGGGTCGTGTCCGCTGGGCCCCCCCAGATCGGGGGGGGAAGAGGGACTCGGGGACAGGGGGTGATGTCACCCCTGGGGTCCCCAAGAGCTGCTCAGGGTGGGGAAACTGAGGCAGGAATTGAGGGAGGAGGGGCTGGGGGGGGTTTCTCGGGGCTGTGGTTGGCTGCTGTCCCACCCCCCGAGCTGGGACCCCCCAACAGAGGGAGCAGGGGGATGTTTTGGGGGCACCCAGCTCCTCCTGCTCCTGTGCAGGGGGGCTGCAGGGGTTTGGGGGGGTCTCACCAGGGTGCTTTGCCCCAGGACCCCCTGCCCCGGGCTCTGGGTGGGTGAAGGTGTGACGGGTGCTCTTTTCCACCCCCCAGCTGTAGGATCTGGCTTTCCAGAACCTCGGGGGGTCCCCACCACAGCCCCCCCCCGCCGTCCCCGCTGCCTCCTCGGGGCCCTCACGGCTGCCCTGGCGCTGTCCCTGGTGCTCTGGTGGTGAGTTTGGGGGGTGGGAAGGGGCACCCGGACCCCTCTGCCCCTTCCCACCCCCCCAGTGCCCCTGACCGGGCTGGGCATCCTCCTGTCCCAGTGTCCTGGTGGGTGGCAGAGAGGGCACAGCCCGAGGCGAGCTCGGGGTGGGGGAACACGTCCCTGAGACCCCCCTGTGCCAGCCTGGACGGCACCTTCAGGGAGCTGAAGAGGATCCTGTGCCCCCCGCGAGGTAACCCCCCAGCCCCCGGGGGTCCCATCGATGCCCCCTCCCCAAACTGGAGCCCCCCCCAGTCCCCCACACGGCGCCTCAGCGCGCCGGGGTCCGTCTGTCTGTCCGTCTGTCTGTCTGTCCACAGAGGCCGAGGGATGCAGGCTCTGCCCCGTGGGCTGGATGCTGGGCAGGACCAAGTGCTGCTGGGTCTCGGAGAGGATGAACTCGTGGCACAGGAGCCGGGAGGACTGCGGGGACCGCGGGGCCGCGATGGCGATGCCGTGGGACAAGGACGAGCTGGTGAAGGGACCGAGGGGACAGAGGGGCTGGAGGCACCCCAGGGGAGGGCGAAGGGCTCCCCAGAAGCCTGGGATCACACCCCTCATTCCCAAATTCCCCGCGGTGCCCGTGGCAGACCGGGGGGGAGTGCCATGGGTCTGGCTCGGTCCCGGGGTGAGGACGGAGCCTATTTTGGGGTGACCATCCCCGGCCCGGCAGCGCCACCACTGCCCCTTTCCCCGGGCCAGGATTCCCTCAACGAGACCCTGAGGAAACCCACGCGGCACTTCTGGATCGGGCTCTCGGTGCCCGCGCCCGGGATGGGCTGGACGTGGGTGAACGGCTCCCGCCCGGACTGGAGCCGGTGAGGAGCGCTGGGGGGGTCGGGGTGGGCACCCCCCTGTCCCCCGAGGGCCCCCCGGGGGTGACACGGGCCCCCTCCCGCACCCGCAGGTTCCTGCAGGACCTCGGGGAGGGTCGCGGAGCCTGCGGGGCGCTCAAGGGGGACAGGATCGACCCCCGCGCCTGCGACACGGGGCTGCAGTGGGTCTGCCAGACGGAGTCCGCCCGGATCTGAGCCTCCACCGCACCCAAAACCCACCGTTAATGCGGGAGAAAATCCCGATTCCCGCGGGTTCGGCACCCACCGGCAGCTCCCGAGGCACGGGCAGAACTGCGGCCGGGGAAAGTCGCCCTGGGATGGGCGAGGCGAGGGCGGCGGGGTGCGAGGGAGGAGGAGAAATCGAACTACGAAAAGAATAAAAACTAAAAATAACTTGTAAAATTCACTTTGCGGGGGAGCCGGTTGCGAACAACCCCCCGATTCCCACCTCCCACCGGTGCCGCTGTTTCGGCCACCCCCCGTGTGGGTCTTTTATTGCCTTCTCTCTCTTTTTTTCCGTTCACGCCCCCCATCTCCCCGCCCCGGGGCGGCCCTTTCGCTGCCACCGCCCCTCGCCCGCCCCTCGTCGCAGCTCTTCAGGGCCAGGGGGTGGGTCCTACGAGCCAAGGCAGGGTCTGTCCCTCGGGGCAGCTCCTCCAGCACCGCCGCGGCTCTGCTGTTGCGTTTAATTCTATTCTCTGTATATTTTATTCGCAGCTCCCATCCCGCTCGGCGCAGCCCTTCTGGCCACCCCCGAGAGCTCCCGTTCAGTGACACCGGGCGGGGGGACCCCTCGGTGCAGCCTTTTATTCTATTTTACTCTATTTCCTGTCTTTTATTCTGTTCCCATACTCGCTGCGGCTCTTTTGGACCCCTCGGTGCAGCGATTTTAACTCCCCCGCGGAGCCAAGAAATGCCGGGAAACAGTTTCCACGGACGGAAGGAGCTTTTCGTAAAGTTTTTATCTCGTGACCTTATTCTCTTATTAATTAGCACCCAACCCCAAATTTGCCGGGTGTCTCTCTCCTTCTCGTGCTGATCGGTCGCAGCTGCAGTTCTTCTCTCCGCTGGACTCTGGGGTGGTCAACGAGTCGGTGGTCGCCACCTCCCACTGCTGGAATGACCTTCTTCCCAGTTATGGCTCGGTCGGCCTGACTTCCCTCCTGTGCCTCCGGGCAGGGAACGGCCACGAGCCTGGTGGGGACCTCCCCGGCACCCGCGGACGTTCCCTCGGGCCTTTCCCCGCCCGCAGCTCCCCCGCAGCTCCCCCGCAGCTCCCGCTCCCTCGGGACGTTTCCCCTCGTGGGCAGCGAGGGGCGCTGGGGGGTCCCTACGAACCCCCCTCCCTTTAAGATCCCGTTCAAGTCCGACCTTTCTGTCACTCAAGGAGACGCGGGGAGGTGACAAGAGCTTCGTCCCGACCGGCTTTGCCTCGGGGTGCAGCCACTTCCCTTGTGCTTTCCCTGCCAGAAGCCGAGCCACATTAACAAACAGGGACACACAAATGGGCTCAGTGCCAGCGCTGGGTGCCCCTGGGGCTCCAAACTGCCGGGGTAGGAGCCGCTGGGCACAATCCTGAGCAGCCTCTCGGGCGCTGGTTCTTCCCCTTGGGAGGCTGAGCCCGTTCTGCAGCTGCCCTGGGCCAGCAGCGTCCAGGCAATGGCACCCCCATGTCACGACAGGGCCACGACAGGGAGCTTGTCTGCAGGTGTTTTTTTTTTTCAACCCAATAAAACAACAACAACAAAAAAAAACTATGAAAAAACCCGAATTCCAGTTCCCTGCCTGCAGTTTCCCGTACATTTGCAGTTTGAAGTTCGTGTGTTTTCTTATTTCCTCTTAACACCACGATGGATTTAGAAAAAACTGGTTTTAGTCATTGATCCATTCCTTTCTTGTGCCCACAAGAACTACTGGTGAGTGACCTCTCCCTGATCCCTCAGCACGACTTTAGAGCCTTTCTTCAATTAAACACTTCCCCCTGATAATGAAAGGCTGTATAAAAAAGTCATAAATATAGTTAGGACAATACTTGTGGTTGGGTGCATTTTGGTCCATCTTTTCTGGTATCATTTAAAGTGCAGGGCCCCCATCCCAGCCATGTGGGACCCCTTCAGCCAAAAACCTCCCCCCGGGTTTCTCAGATGTCACGATGGTGGTTGTAAATCTCCAACAGCTTCTCATTTCTTCTGGCTCTGAACTGTGCAGCTTTCACGAGGTGACAGTTTGGAATAATTCTGTCCCCTGCCCGGGTGAGGAGGGGGGTGACAGAGCAGCATCTGGCACCAACCAGGGCCAGCCCATCACAGATCCCTTGGTTGAGAACTCTTAAATATTTGTAAGTAAGCAAGGTGCAAAAAATGGACTTTGTTCCTTCAAAAATGAGCCACACTGAGAG